CATCATCATCATCATCATCATCATCATCATCATCATCATCATCATCATCATCAGCATCATCATCATCACCAGCAGTAGCAGCTGCAGCTGTCCATAATAATCAATGCTGACCACGAGCTTCCTTTATGCTCGAAGCTCCCCCCTCCCTCCGCCCCATATTGCCTACGCCAAACCTATATTATCATCCCCTGTTTTGTTTTGTATTTAACCTCTAAATATTATCCCTATCAAATCAACATTTTAAGATCTAATACACGGTGCCCATTGCGGATGGCATTGGGTCGGGTCATTTCGGGTCGGGGGCGATCGCGTTTGTTTTTTAGGCGAGGAGTCGGGCGCGATCGGCTTGTGTCGCTATAATAATATAATATTATCCACTTTGCGCCCTCAATCTGGCTAGCAAACTGCCCCGACCCGACCCGATCCCCCAATGGGCACCCCGCATAAGGCTTTCTGGTCATTTTGCAGTGCCTTTAAGTGCATAGTTTCTCTTATTTCTAAACATTCGTGGGGGGAAAAAATCAAATTCTTGAACTTGTTTCTGTTCGATTAACCGCACTCTTTCAACTGTCCGGCATATTTACAGATACTGGTGTGTAAAAGAGACAAATAATGTTTCAACTTTAGAATGTATACTTTGTTTGGTCTCCTTTTCTGAACTGCCAGTCCCTTACCAAAAGACCACAAAGCTAAGGGAATACAAAACAAATTAAATAAATACATGACTAAATTAGGCAACACATAAATAAATGACCATTTGGCCATTGAATGGTATTGATTTTCCGAAAAGTGGACATAATAATTATATTATCATTCACATCATGCTCGCTCTTTGATGCCACTTTGGTTACGGTGTCTGAACCAAAATACAGTAACATAAAAATTGATGGCCTGAAGGATGGGTTGAGCACAGGCGCGGTTCGTTAACTGGGCAGCTGTAGTGGACAACAGATTGGCTGCTTATAATAGTTCTTATTTAGTTTCAAGTACATCCGAATCAATACTTATCAACGTTCACATCACTTTCTCTATAAAAAAAGCTCAAAGAGACAATAAGGGCTCGCCAATATGTTGTCGCACCACAGAAACCCGTTCCTAAATCTCAGTTTATCTCGCTGACTCAGAAAGTCGTTGTCACAAGCTGCTGTCACGATGCGCACCTTTGTATCGCGCGCTCAGTGGTGACGTCACCCAGCCCGGCGAATTAAGCTGTGTCCCTGCCGGTCAATATCAGTCATTTGAAGGAAATTTCAAAACTGAGGTAACCTTATTTTTAAAAAAAACGATCACCTTTTCCCTACAATTTAAAACAAGAATGAAGTAAATATGACAATATTTGACAGAAATACGTAACTTTTAATTGTGCGAGGTGAGGAAACACGAAAAGGAGAAAATGGCCTCAGAAGTTGAGCAATATGTTTCCATAGCAATTGGGTTCTTAGAATTGAAATAGAGACTTGAAATTTAGCCACTACAAGGTAACATACAGAAGTAGAAAACTATTCATTCTCAGAGAAAAAACTTATTGACAAAGCAAACTTTTCACGAGAATGGACTTCACGTCAAATGCAACAGTATATTAACATTATACTAGGTACCAGATACTAAATTCTCCACGTAGCTGTATGTCAAATTCTTCTGTTTTATATGAAAGGCCTATGTCTCCTGAGAATTTAAGTACTATACTTTTACCTCTCAGTCACTGTTTAAAAGAATGGCAGCTGTTTCAATTTAACATAATTTTGCCGAAGTCGTTTACTGGCTGCAACCCCATGATTAACAGATAATAATTTATTTAATAAAAGCGATTCTTCTCTATTATTTTAGTATACTGAGTGCTCCCCGGCGTTTTGCAGAAGAATTTATGCAAAATAATTCCAAGCCGATGACTTTATTATAATAGAAAAAGAACTGTTCTTGCTGTTATAACATTTTTTCCCCCCGGTATTTTACACATTTCGTGTTAAAAATTACCTTTGAAAACAGACGCTTTTTCCAAGGTTTTCTATCCAAACGCCAAAGGCCAAAAATAATAACCACGGTAAACCACGCTCAAAGCTGTAAAGTTTGCAGCCAAAGAAAAGATGGTATTTAATCATCG